CCATGCGACTTCTTCCTTTGGGGATTTGTGAAGGATCTTGTCTTTGCACCACCTTTACCTACAAGTGTAAATGAACTGAAAAAACGCATTTGTGATGCTGTACAAACAATTACCAGAGATACATTACACCGTGTTTGGCAAGAACTTTCATATCGCAATGATATCGTACGTGTAACGAAAGGAAGTCATATTGAACGCTTGTAAACAAAAACTCACACATTTTCCCGTTATATTCGTGTTTGAACTATAATTTTCTGTGTGTAATTTTTTAAAATATAAATTTTTGAAATCGGACGTTTCTTTCCGGGGAACCCTGCATATTGTTTCTCTTTTCATTGTTCATCGGTCTTAGATTTTCGTTCGGCCGGCACGAGTTTCTCGGCCCAATATTAAGACATTATAGGAGCAAAAATCAGTTCACCGTTCAGGAATTCGGATTACTTCGTCGAGGGATTATTTTCTATAGAGTGTCGATACAAAAGGCGCGGGTTGAAGCCTGAGAACCACGGTAAATATATTTTCTCCACCGCGTCGCGTACACCCCGGGAACCGCGACATCCTGCGAATAATCTCGCGCGACGTTTCTCTGAAATTACGCCGGTGTCAAGCATAAATAAAAGACCCGGCCCTGAGTGGATATTATGCAACGCCGGTGTTTTGCGGTGTTCCTCCCCCTCCCCGTCGACGGGATCCTGTTCCTTCCTCGCCGCCTGGCTTTTTATTCGTCGTCCCTCTTGCCGCGGCGTTCGAGCCGCTCGACGAAACAATGGGACGTGATTTTCGCCGCGGGGCCTCGGCACCGATGCAACGACCGTCGGAAAATTGGAAATTGATCACCGCGATATCCGCAAGTAGCTGCTCGACGGATCGCGAAAGTCGGCGAATAAAATGTACTTGGTGAGCGCGCGCCGAAAATGTACTCGGCGCACTTGCAGGCGTCTTGCTGGTGCTGTACACAAAACGCATCGTTCTCTGACGAATAAGTGATTACATTGTGACACTGGTGAAGAATATAATATATATATATTATATATATATATAATAATATAAATATTATTATTTAATTAATATATATATAATATATATATAATAATATATATATAATATAATTAATTAATAAGTTAATATATAAGTTAATATATATATATATAATTAATTAATTAGTTAATATATATATAATATAAAACTATAAAATTATAATATATAAATCATGTCAAAATGTATTTTGTCAATTCTGATCGAAGTCTGTGTTCTAATTTTTATCGATGGTTTTTGGTAACAGCAGCTTGAGGCGTCGTGGAAATCGGTGAATTTAGAGTACACTTGGAGTATAATTATAATATATTGTATATCCAAAGTGTTCTAAAAATGTCTCGCAATCTGCAAATGCGAGATTCCTGACGTTATTTGAAGTAACTTTTCCCTTAGCGAAAATGCAATCCGCGGCTTTGTTTACGAGTTATCAGCGAAAAACAGTGACCAATGAGAGGCGAGATCAGCTTGCGCGAGACGGCCAAGCCAATCAACGGAACTGGGCTTCGTGCGCTCGTTGGCTGAGCCGCGCCAGCCGAGTTCGACTCTCATTGGTCAATGTTTTTCGCTCATAACTCGTAAACGAAGCAGCGAATTGCATTTTCGCTAAGGAAAAAGTTATTTCAAATGATCTCAAGAACCTCATATTTCCCGGAAGTAATATAATTTTGGGACACCCTGTATATGTAATATATAGTATACAATTTCACAGGTAGAGCATTATTTTGTACCAATGACGCTCTAAACTATGCCACTGACTAAGATATATTTCGTCAATTGCAAATGAAATCTGTGTTTTAATTACTATCGACGGTTTTCGAAGGAAGACGACAAATTTTCTCTCAGATCCCTAATCTTTCAAAAGTAAATTGAGCAATGATTTAAAAAAATTTCTGCGTTATATCAACATTCAGTTAAGTCTTCGCATCCTGAAAAACTGAAGTACTGAAAGCGACTAATAAAAATGACAAAACCGCGCGAATGTATCTATACTTGTTGCAATTTTTATCGTAACGTGAACTTGAGCAAAGGGATTCATCGAATCGTTTCTTATAAATAATCTCAAAATAAATAATGCGAGACCGGTTGTTTTGATCGGCGCAGTAGCCTCGGTGTTAAATACCGGTGTCGCGCACAGATTTTTAGTGACGCGTAGTTTCCAATCGATGCTCGCGGGGGGCGGGGCGAGACACGCACACGCACTAATTCTTTGCAAACAAGCGTGCGCCGCGCGGCAAAACGTCGGCGAAACTCGCATGCACCCGGCACATATTATTATGCCGCGTGTTCCTTTCATCCGAGGCTCGGCGAGCAAACAATTCTTCCGCCGATAAACTCCCGCGGCCCCGCGACTCCGCTTTTTATTCGCACTGGTATCAGCAAGAAGTTACGAGCGCCCTTTTTGCCGACGTTTTATCGCCGCGACGCGATGCGACACGCTTAATTACGGCGACGTTTCTGTTTCCGCTGTCATGCCGGTGGCCGGGGCGAGGCCGCGGCGAGTACGCTCGCGGAAAACGCGTGCCGACGTTCCGGGTACCCTCGCGACACTTCAAAGACCCTTTCAGCGGTACTATTTTCTGATTCTTTTGTGGCTGAATTTGTTCAGGCTCCGTAAATAACTTTACTACATATTTTTAATATTCGTAAGTGCTTGCCAGTGGTTCTTGTCTCTGATCCGATTTACGGTAAAAAGAGAAACTTAAGGAACGTACTTCTTGCGGAGCCGTTTCATTTCTCCAATAAAACGTCGCGTTGTTGTCTTCCTTTACAGTTTGAGGAACGTTCGTTAAATGATCGCGGATGACGACGACGAGACTGAATTTATTTAAACTTCTCACAATTTTTATCGTAATGTGTGCCTCGATCAAGAAATCTGCTCGATCATTTACTGTAAAAGAGTCCTGAAAATTTCAACAACTGTGAAATAAAAAGTGAAACGAATCACTGAAATATCTGAAAGAAGTCTCGCGTTACGGCCGCCGCTCTTGCTTCGAACAATTTTTAAACATGTTCAAATGTCTATAATATTAAAAAAATATATATCGTTGCGTTTGTAGGAATACACAGAATCGTCTTATGCGAGAAACATCTGCGCAGCTGTTCAATTTGAAACGGGAACAATTTATAAAGGTGGAAATAGGTCTTAATATTTGTTAAAAAAATAAACGACACTCACGGTGGACGACTTGAATGTTAATTTAACCATGAAGTATTTCTTATCGCTTTATTCGATCGTTTTATTTACGAGTGAATCAAATAATCTAAACGAGCCGGTCGTTTCTGTTTGCTCGTCGGGCCATCGAGAAACGGTGCAGGCAACTTTCGCCAGCGGTTACGAGCAGATTCATCGGGCCGTTTTGCAACGTGTAGTCGTCGGAATGGATAAAATCCCCCGTGACAACATGTTGACATCGATGCCGGTTGTTAGCGGCCGCCGAGAGAAAAAAGGGGAGACCGACGCGACGCAGACGACTGCAACGACAAGATGGCGGCTGTGGCAATGGCAACGGGTGAACGTTGATTCCGTGGAGCTCGTTAAACGGTTTTGCTCGATCTTTGTCGCAATCCACCGTCAGATCGTGAAATCTCATCCATCTTTTTCTCGGTTTAACAACCGATTCGCCGACGATTAAAATCGTTCGCGTTCCCTAACAGTGCCCAATTGCTGATGATCGAAGACGCTTTCTCATTTCAATGGGTCCTGAAAAATCTTGAAAAATTCTGTCACATCCATAGAAATTGTTACTTAAAATCGTAACAGCCGTTTAATGAAATGCCATTTTACAAGACCCGTGATTTTTATTGTATGGTGTTGTCATCGGAATAAATAACTTGATTCGGTAATTTATCCGCGCAAGTTCAATAATTGTGGAATAACTGCTACAACAAAACAATACAAGAAACAGCGAACTATTTCTTAGCCTTCAATTACCATTCTACAAATAGAAAAATGATATTCAATTAAATGTCACCGCAATGCATTGACAAAAAAATGCAGCGAACGACGCGCGCATTTAATGTTTAATTAAAATCGCGGCGGTTAGAGAATACCGTGCGACGTATTTCATAAAAACGCTCGAGATTGTGAAGTAGCCTTTAATTAAATGTCACTTTTTGGTTAAAAACAAAAAAAAAACACAAAAAAACGTGGCGAACTATTCCTTAATGTTTAGTTGAAATCCCGGGAATCATGACACGCCGTTTAATTAAACGTTCGCCGCCGCGTATTTGATAAATACGGCGAACTAACTCGCGGATTTAATGTTTAATTAACATTCCAGGAATCACGGCAATGTGTCCCGGCACCGAACTAAGAATTCGCGCGTTCGCATTTCACGGAGGGCCGGCGCAGAGGAACCGGAAGAGGGATTTATCTCGGAGATTCGTGGAAGGGGGTTGACGGACAAAGGACGAAAGGGGTTGCACGGGGACGTGGTTGCGGCAAGCAGCGCGTGGTAAATGGATTTGCCGGGGAAGCCCGACGCGCTACGTGACATTGATAATTTGCCACGAAGACCGGAGGAGGAAACGCAAAAGAGCATCGGGATTAGATGGTCGGCTGCGCTCTTCCGGATTGTCTGCGATGCATTTCAGTTAGTGGTCGATCGTGACGGCCGAGGAACGTTCGGGAAACAGCTCCCGGAAAATTACAGTTATTAGCGATTAATAGCTGCAAAACCTGCTTGCCAGACGACTGGTTTCGAGCCCCAGCCCTCGACAGGCTTAGCATTATTGTGAGCATCTTGTATAAATTGCGGAGAGGCAACGGAACTTCGTAGATGATCGTAAGTTCAGATTATAAATCATAGAATTGGAAAATATTGAAATTTATTTATTACTGAAGATCAGAATTGCAGGTTTCATTTTTGGTGGATGCAGCAAGGGAGCAGCGTTTGTGCAGTGCGCAAAGAATGTTTGTTACAATTAACAACCAAAAGAATTTTTATAATAGTCCTTTTGTGATCAGAGATCAGCAGAAGGGAGTTTCTTAAAAAATGCCTGAAAATAGATAACAGTTTCATTAATAATTCGCTTAACAAGTTCTTCTGAAATTATTACTCGAGAGAAGATTATTTATTTTCTTTCGCATACAGCACAGTCGTTGAAAAGCTTGTCAGTAGGCTTCCGGTGTGTAAAACGTTAATTAATTGGCAATATTTATGTGAAATAAAAATGTTCCACATCGATGGTTAAAAAAATAGCTACCTCGACATTAATCTTTTCCTTTGATGTTTTCAATCAGTTGCAAATACAATCTTTAAATTCTTCTGATGGTTTTGCTATTTTCTATGACAACTAGTAAGCTTCGTTATTTGATAACATAATTACTTATTATATAAACGCATAAAATGCGGTGTCTATTATTCGATCAGTAAACGAAATTGTTCAATAGAAGAAGGAACTGTTACGATTTTATTGTCCGAAGCTGAAACACTTCGTCCTTCAAGGCTTCGACAAAGAAATTTTAGCGAGTCCGCGACATTGCTCGAAGTTAGAGAACGAGCTGATAACGAAACGAGTCTTACTCCCGCTACTTTCTTGCGAAGAAAGGACGGCCCTTTGATTTAGCGGGAGCGTTAACGATTATGCGTCGGCGATGAATGCCGTTTCCGTCGCAAACAACAAGCCGCGGCCCATTTTAAAGGAGGTTATTGTCTCAAATAAAATCACAATGTAACGAATTTACAATGAGCCGGCGCGGCGACGGTCGGCGAGGAGTCGAAGCTTTGTTCCGCGGAGGCTGAATGCAGCTTTTAAAAGCTCCGCTGACTTCCAGGTAATTGTACAGGGACTATGTGACGAATTAACTACACAATACGCCGGTTACGACTGGGAGTATAGTTCCTTCTGGCCCGGTGGATCGACCTCTCTGGTAAAAGTCTCCCTCCGACAGCGGAATGATGACGGTCGCGCTGGTCAGACACGGCGCCTGCTTCGCGAAAGACTCATTTCGCTATGAGGCAACGACAGGACCGGCAGATATTAAAGTCTAACCGCAATAAAAACTCCCGAAAGCGGCCGAAGCATCGCGGAATACGGAGCTCAAGAGATTCATAGCGGCGGGAACCGGGCCACGAAAATTATTAAAATTCCTCGCCCCTCCCACGCGTGGCCTAGTGAAAAAACTAGGACGATCTTCGTGCAACACGCTCGGCCTTTGTCGCTACAAAGTTTCCTCGCGGATGGATCGCAAGCTGAACAAAGAATTTGAACAGAGATACGAGCGTAATCGGAGAGTTCGACTTCTGAAAAATTGTCGACGATCCGACCGTTCTAATTTCCTGACAAAAATTCGTTCGACGGTGAACAGGAACTGTTTCGATAGCTTGAAGCCTCTACTTTCATAATATGTCATTTATGTATTTCCAAGATGTTTTTTTCATAATATAATGTGGGTTAAATCGGAGGCATGTTCTTTCTTCAAAATACTTGAAATTCAAACGACACGGAAAACATTGGAAAATTTCGTTCCTACCAATATTTTTTCTGAGAAAGTCGATCATAGGCTGGAAGACGGAAGTATCCCCTTTAAAATGACGCCTCAAAACTTGATGTGCGATTTTTTGTCACTGTTTTACGGAACAAAAACGGGGACCCAGTTCGGTCATGCAAAGTCTCGTGTGTAGGGTACACCTTTCGTTCACAGTTCAATAACGAGGTTAAAAAAAGTCGTAGATCAAGTTTTATCGGGTCATCTTAAAGAGGAAGCTTCGATCTTCAAATACATGGTTCAAGCAAAACCGTATTAGAAGAAAATCAACGACGGTTAACAAAAGCGATGATCGTTGTCACGGATTAGAAAATTTGTCGATGATTATCCGAATAATTTTTTCTTGGTCGAGTCGTCAATTCGCAGCCTCGAAGCGGCGACAAATCAACGCCAGGCGAAGTTGTCCAAAGTTCACGGTCTCCCAAGCCCTGAATTGCGGATCGATTAAGCTTCAATCGCCGTTAAACTGCAATTAAATTACCGGTCTGTTGCGCCCCCGCAGTTTTATATCGCCCGGATGGTACCCGGTGTCGCAACGCGATAAAGTTATTACCGTGGCTGCGCGGTTGGGATTTACGATGTCACGTTTTTCAGAGCGGCGGATGCGAAATCGCCGTTTGCATAATCGCGTCGAATTACTCGCGCGCGGCCGCAGGATATTCCTCGTAAAATTGTTTGACCTTTCGCGGGACTATCCGCTCGAACCCTGCGCTCCTCTTTCGAATCCGTGTCAACGGCAGCGAGTCCTGTACGACCCGGCACCGGTGTCTATTGGCATCGTATTTTTCAAGCGTTAGGCTATCTGAAGTGTGTCAAATTCGTAGCATTTTCATTTTGCAAAATTACAGATAAGGAACATTGACTTTAGAAAAAAAGGTTTTTAACATTTTGTAAAAAGCTTAGCTAGATTGCAGACAGGAAGATCGTGTGAAAACCTGAAGTCGGATGAAAATTGTAGAATATATTTATGCTACTAGAATGTAATAATTATAACGAGAGTAGACCAATCAATTTTATTTGATTTTATTGTACTATATCGTATTTCTTCCGTCAATTAAAACATGTACGTTCCATTTCGTTAAAAATATGTTAATGTCTGCGCAACAATTTCATTATCTTCTGCAACATCTGATTTATAAAAGATAATGTACGATGAACTATTTGACAATTACCGTTTAGTTCTAAACTGCACTAATCCGACATTTGAAATTATAATATTTAATACCTGCTTAACCGTTAACCGGATTATGATGGCCGCGGTGTCTCCGCGCAATTTTAAACTAATCATCATTATTATACGTTAATGTAATTGTTTAAAAATTAATGCACGCCACTATTAACTCATCAAACTTGCAATGTTTCGACGCGAATCTATTTGCACTTACTAATTTGGAAATATGGAATATTTAGTGAAACAATAGCTGACAGTGTAATTAGCAGCTCGATTAATGTTTGATAGTTGTCTACTTTTCTATTTATTTGTCCATCGAATCGTACAATCGGCTGTGCAATTTCGCGTTAATGTATTAATAATATTCCTGCGATCCCACGTCAATATATCGGCGTTATTTGGTAACGTTGGTGTTCATCAATAATGCCGTGTTAAACTCGCGAACACTCGAGAACAGTTTCCCACTGTTGTTGATGCAAATAGTGTAACAACGATTCTAGTATTGTGATCGGACCAACGTGGACACTGTTTGGCAATGTTTTCCAGTATTAGCGGCACTTCGTGGGCGTAGATATTGGTTGGACAGGGTGTTCCCCTCTGAAACTGCTGGCGAACTCTCCTCGCCGAACATTCGTATTTAGAAAGTATCAAAATACACTGGCAAACCGAATGTATTGTAGTCCTTTCTCAAATATGAACCAAGATGAAAATGTTAGTTGATTGTCTAGTTACTTTCGATTCAAAGGTTATTTCGTATAATTTTTGTATATTTCGAATAATTATCTTGAAACTGTTGAGCGTCATATTTTTGAGGAAATGGAACGTACATGTTTTAATTGATGGAAAAAGTACGATAAAATCAAATAAAATCAATTGGAATTTAAAAACAACTCTACTCTCGTTATAATTATTACATTCATCCGACTTTAAATTTTTTCACACAATCTTCCAATCTGAAATCTAGCTAAGCTTTTTACAAAACATTAAAAACCTCATTTCTAAAGTTAATGTTCCTTTATTTTGCATTATGAAAATGCTATGAACATTCGTATTTAGAAAGCATCAATTACATTGGCCAACGAATCTACTATAGTCCTTTTACAAATTTTTATGCAAATTCTAGTTAATTTTCTAGTTACTTTCGATTCAAAGTTCCTAAAAAAATATCGCCCATCAATTTTTTAAAGGTCGATGAAAAAGGGAGGCTTCCCTCTGAAGCGAATTTAAAACGAATAGCGAACAAATTTTGTGAAACTCGATAGGGTCTTTGTAATCTTTGTAATATTGTTTAAAAAAAATCAAGTTCAATTTAAAACTCCGTTCCTTTTTAATGTAAAGGGGTCTTCTTAATTATATAAATAACTATATAAAATAAAAATCTTCTGCCTCAATTTTAACTGCTAAAAGTTAAATCGAAGTTCATTTTTAGTAGTATTAAATATTCCAATAGGGGATAAAAATAATACAACAGAGTTTCTTTATTCTTCTCTCTGGAGTTCCTGGCATCTTATACTTCGCCAATTAATTTTTGCCATAGCTTCATAAAATGTGCACTTTACTTTCAGCTGCACAAAACGTACAGTCTATTTGTAACTTCATAGTCTGCTTGTATATGCACAAAAGTTGCATTCTACCGGCTGCATAAAATTCGCAGTCTACTCGTGAACCGCCGCGACTGCATTTTTCACCGACACGAGATGCGCTTAATTCTGCGTCCATGCGCGGCCGAAATGAATTCAATCTAACAGATAGTGCGAATAAAAAATACAAAATGGTGACGGTAACGGTAAAATATTTATCAGCATTCATCGATGTTTCGCGTCCTAGTGCAAGTTGATCGCAGCGGGTTTCGCAAACCGGTCAAAATCGTCGCGCGAGGTTTTCGCAATGTGCTCGACCCGTCCTCGGCTACTTGCTATTCGCCCAGCGAAATGCACGCGCAAACACCGACCCGCATCGCCGCATTATAATTCGCGCACGGACGACCAATGGATTCGGCCCGTCCATCTCGCTCATTAATATTCCGTATCACGGCCAGGTATACCGATTTGCGGGCAGGTGCGGTTCACGCTAATTACGCGACGCCGCGCCGCTTCGTCGCCGAACGCTTTCGTTCATTTTTTAAGGGCCGGCCAAATTCGCCGTTTCATTGATTAACACGTCGCTTACCGTCGGCCATTTAACGCGATCGCTGGCAACGTTTGTTAAATACTTTATTCAACGTTCCGTTCGATATTTCATCGAACGCTCGCTGCCCCATTTCTGGCTTGCTAGAGAAACCTCGACGCTAACGAGCGTGCGGGACCGTGCTTTACGAATTTCTTCGCGAAAATGTCTAGTTAATTCGTTAATTGGATTTTACGAAACAACGAAAATAAATCGGCGCGGTTTGATACAGTAGAAACGTCCAAATCATTTAAGAATATCGATCAATTATTTTCAATTGATTAATGCTATTGGAGAAAGGAAATCTGTACGGTTCACAATTCATGCAGACAATTTTTCTCTCACTAAAAAATAATAGTCTAGTAATAGAAAATCTG